GTCGGGCCTTCCCCCGCACCCCGCCGCTGCTGGCTTTTCCGGGGTCGAGCGGCCCGGGCCTTCCCGCCTGGGAAAGCGGGAGGATGAGCGGCGAGGCGAGCGGCGAGCTTGAAACCGTGGGGGGCCGCCACGCGTGTCCGTGACCGCAGGCTCGGGGGCTGCGGGGCAGCTGCTGGGCCGCCATGGAAAAAACCCACCCACACTCACCCCTGGGCTGGGAAGAGGGTCCTGCTTAGCCTCCGTCTCCCATGGAGAATGCAGAAGGCACGGTCATGGAGAAGAAACCACACTTTATCCGGCGGGATCTTCCTCCCAGGGAGGTGTCCTCTGTCTCCTTGGCGTTGCTGCTTGGAGCCATCCTGCTCCTCAATGCCCTCCTCTACCTGTACCTCAGCAAGTTTTACGTCTCTCCGGGACGCGCCGGAACGGATCCTGGCCTCTGCTCTTTCGGGTACTTCAAACTGGGAGCGGGGAAGAACTGCTCCCCGTGGCTGACCTGCGAAGCCATAAATAGGGAAGTGAGGAAACTCAAGTGTGTTGGCGAAGGAGCTGTGAAAAAGGTGAGTTTGGTTTTCATTAAAATAAAGAGCTTTCACTGTTGGCTGGCTAACTGGTGCCCATACTGCCGTTATAATTATCCTCACAGCAGCTAATGCTGTAAGGTGTGATGAGCATGACCTGGGCCTCAGCCCTGATCCCGAACCACGTCCAGCTACACAAACAAAATCACCGATCGGTGATGTGCTCGCGGAGCGTGGTGCCATCGCGGCACAGTAAGACTGGCTGGTTGGGTGCTATGAAATAACTGAACTCATGGCATTGCCTGTTCTAAAGAAAAAATTAGGAAATGGTGATGTAATTATGATGTTGGGAAGGGCTTGTTGAGACAGGCACATGGCCCTGCCTAAAGGCTTGGCTGTGCCTGGGGACCGTCACTTGCCGTTGTGACTGAGCAGCCACCCGGACGTCAGTGGAAGGCGGCTCTCCACGTGTCTTACGTGTCTCTTGTTGTGTTCCCAGGTCTTCCTTTCCGAGTGGAAGGAGAACAAAGTGGTCCTCTCGCAGCTCACCAACTCGGAGCTGAAGGAGGACTTTCTCCACGGACTGAAGATGCTGAAAGCACTTCAGAGCAAGCACGTTGTCCGGCTGCTCGGCTACTGCGAGCAGCAGTTCACCATCCTCACCGAGTACCATCCTCTAGGCTCCCTGAGGGGCCTGAACGAAACTCTCCACATCCCCAAGTACAAGGGCATGAACACGTGGCATCGCCGGCTGATGCTTGTGATCGACTACGTGAGCATCATTCGGTACCTGCACAGCAGCCCCCTGGGCACCTTGGTGATGTGCGACTCAAATGACCTGGACAAGGTCCTCTCCCAGTATCTCCTAACGAGCGACTTTCACATCCTGGTGAACGATCTGGACGCCCTGCCTCTCGTGAACAGGAGCGCCGGCAGGCTGGTGAAGTGCGGTCATCGGGAGCTCCGGGGTGAGTTTGTAGCTCCCGAGCAGCGCTGGCCCTACGGGGACAAGGTGCCGTTCGAGGATGCCCTCATGCCCGCCTATGATGAGAAAACAGACATCTGGAAAATCCCAGATGTCTCCAATTTTTTCTTGGGCCACGTTGAAGGAAGTGACATTGTGCGACTGCATTTGTTTGACATCCACGCGGCATGTAAGAAGGAGGACCCGGCTCAAAGACCTTCTGCCCAAGAGGTCTTGGACGCCTACCGGCGAGTTTTGACTCTGCTTATTCGGGAGGCGGCCATGCCCGGTACGCGGGAAATGCTGTAGCGAATCAGGAGACAACGTACTGCAGTTGATGCCATTCCTATTTATTTAGCTTGCTTGATGGGCAAAACCTCTGTCCCCAAAACCAAGAACGACCAAACTTGTATCGTTTGATTTAAAAAAAATAACTCCGCCCAGTGCTGGAGCTGCGCACGCTTCCCGCTGGCATGTGTCATCTGTCACTGGAAGAGGAGGGGGGAAAGAAGTGAAGTGGTGTGGGTGTGGGGGGAAATCTGTGCCTCAAGAAATAAATTTTCTATTGCAACCCTACGCAAAATCTCTCCCAAATAAATCAAATCACACAAAACCAGTTAAAAAAGTACTGAAACTGGTTGGCAGGGGAGTGGAGAGCAGAGACTATGGTGTGTCCTCCACAGGCTTCCTGCGGATACCTGTGGCTTTGGCCTGTGCCTTATCTACAAAGTCCTCACCCCCTGGAGTCAAAGCAGCGGGCGAACCCCGATGCCAGAGCCGCAGGGCAGGCTCTCCCTGCTGGCTGGGGAAGGGGCTGGCTTTGGAGCTGTAGGGCCAGTGCTCTGGGAGTCCCATAGCCCCCAGCAGCAAGCGGGTGATGCAGATCCCCAAGAGACTCCTGGTTGTCAAGCCTTTGGCCGGTGGTGCTCTCAGGTGGGCTCTGTGGAGATGGAGCTGTGAAACGCAAGTCTCCTGCTGTTTTTTTAGTCCATGGATTTCCTGAGTGCTTTGGCAAAGAGCTGGAGCCTATCTTTTTTCCTTTTGCTCATCCTTGCTGAGTGTCATCATAGCTCAATGGGAGGGGGGAGAACAAGGACCTGAGAGAGCATGCGAGTTCCTTCCACGGCAAGGAGCGTTTAATGGTAGCTTTGGAACATAAATCCCCTGCATTCAGCGCAAACAACTCCACGGGGTCTGAATTCAAAGCCCACCAAGTGTAAAGAAAGGCTGCTTTTTCGTTTGGTGTGTTTGGAGGATAGCTTTTGGTACCTGCAGGGATGCTGCAGCCTTGCACAACAGCTGGAGAGAAGGGTAAGGATGCCAGGTGTAGGGGCTGTTAGGCAGGGTTGGGATGTACCCGTTCTCCTGGTGAAAAAGCAGGAATTGTATGAATGGGACACATGGACTCCAGCCCTACAGCCTGGGAACTTCCTGTTCTGCGGACGAGTTCTGTGACAGACCTACGGGACAGAGACAACCCTCGTGTTTTGACTCGAGGGGTGACGTGTAAGCAGAGGACATGGTCCTTTCTGCTGAAGAGTTGGGTTCTGTGCCATGCTGATGCTCCCCTTCACCCACGCACGGAGAACGTGCAGTCTGTTACACGTAATGTTCAAAAGCACGTGCGTTCTGTTGCTGCCATACGCTTCTTAGAAATGGGAAAACTTTCCTGCAAATTAGCAGCCTCATTCCTAATTTCATACAATGCCAGCAGGAGCCCTTTAAAGGCTACCAGTTATGACTTTTCTTTCCCCCTGGGGACTCTACTTCCTTTAGTTAGCTGGGTTTTGCCATTATTTCACTTGGTGCAGTCCTTCCTGGCAGCTTTCCTGCTCAGGTTGTCGGGAAGCGAGGCTCAGAGGTCAGGGTCTCCAAAAGAGAACAATGATTTTGGATGCTTTCGTGTTTGTTTTGGACTTTGACTCCAAACACCTTAAAGAGGCCTGAGGAAAAAGAATGCTCTCTCATCCAGCCCATGAACTCAGGAGTTGTTATTATTAGGGTTGGAGTTCTACAGTTCCGGCATGAATCCAGGATGTGCAACAGTTGGAAAAGCATCCTGTTACGGCTCCTCAAAGCCAGGGAGCAAGCTTTGAAGGGCCAAGAGTCAAATCTTTTGCATGTGCCCCCAGCTATAACTTGTTACTTGCAGGGGGGGAACTTTTTACAAGGGCCTGTAGTGACAGGACAAGGGGTAATGGGTTTAAATTGAAAGTGGGGAGGTTTAGATTAGATACTAGGAAGGAATGCTTCCCACAGAGGGTGGGGAGGCACTGCGACAGGTTAGCTCCTGGTATCCAGGCTAACCCTCCTGGGACACTGCTGTGCCAGCAGCGGAAGAGACCGGGAGGCCTAGGACATGCCAGCTGAGCCTGCTGACGGTCTGGCTGCGGGTGCCAACTGTGTCAGGGCACCTGGACCCATGACTGGTATGCTACACTCTACCCTTGTTCCAATGCTGCTGCCAACACAAATTCCCAGTGGATTTCCCAAGCAAATTCATCCCTTACCAGGTAGGTTTGTACCACAGGATACAGTATGGAAACAGCCTGTCTCAGAGCAGTGTCCCAGGTTCAGTTCAAACCCGCTGCTCCTTTCTTTTTCTCCTCAGTCACCCAAAGATCAGCACCGCCAAGGTTACGCTGTTTTCCTGTCCACACTGCCTGCTGGCTTCCGGGTGGCTCAGGTCTGCCGTAGCGCGTTTCCCTTGGTGTTCCATGGGTTTCAGCCTCCATCCCACAAGCAATTCTGCAACACTAAATCCTTTACAGCGAGCAGCCTTTAGGGCACCTCATCGGTATGCCTGACACCATCAGGTGTAAAAAGGATTGCACAGCGGCCGCTGCGGAGGCGTGGGTACACGCTGCGGGAATAAAACGCACACAACCTGTTTAACTGAACAGGGTTTGGGTTTCTTTCCTTTCTGAAGGATCTTTCTAAAGCCCATGTTACTCTATATTTAATAGAGTGGTAACTCCTAAGTGTATCAGGAGTTTAGAATACCACAGAAACTGTTTGAAATTCTATCACAAGCTCTAAACCAGTATTTTCCTTTGGTGCCACAAAAACAAAGCATCAGGTCATTATGAAAGAGAGGCAGCACTCTTTGCCAAACCGAATTTGTGAGATATTTGGCAGAATTTGCAACTGTAAACCGATTCTATCATTATGACTGTAATGTCCTACCAACAGTCAAGAGACCCTGGGAACAAGAAAAAAGTGGTTCTCAAGTTCTTCCAGCATGATACAATGTGTGTATTTGTAGAGTCCATCCAAATAAATTATATGGTTTTATTTTAATTGAAATACTGTATACTTGAGATGACCACATGATTGTCAGTCTGTGTTCTGAAGTCTATAATCCAGTATTTATCAGGATTAAACAGTGAATATATTTACATTACAGTGATATTTATGTCTCAGCGATTTCTGATTCTGTTTAGCTCTGGCATGGATTCTTTGGCCATCATTTTCAAAAGGACAAGCTTACTGTTAGATTCCAGCATTCACATTTTGGATATGAAGTAACTGGATTCTCCAAACTGATAATATTCAGCAGCTTTCAGTTAAATAGATAGTAGTTTGTGGATGCTTAGGACTTTTGGAAAGCACATTCTTTCCTTGTAGAGCTGGAAAAAACTTTTCAGTGATTCTCTTGATTGAAGTGGGTGCTTTTATCAAGTACACACGAGATTTCTCTGTGGAATGAACAAAGTCCTCACTTTTCCAAAAGCTGGAACTGGGTTTTTTTTTAAATTAAATCACACAGCTCTGTGTTTTTCTCCCCAAGAGCTCTTGTGAGGAGTTATGTCCAACCCAAAGCTGAAACTCCCCAGGCTTATTTGCCACACTGTCATGTTGAAAATCTAGCCACTAAGCTTGGGTCCCCATTAGCTACGTCTTGCCAGAACAGCTTTTGCCAATGCCACAAATTATTATTATATATTATTTGTTTGGTGCCTACATGCTTGGTCAAGGCCAGGCCAAGCTAACCTAGGCTTAAGAGTCAACCAACATTGGTATTTGAGCCAGATTCCTCAAGGAAGTCGTGCAGAAGGCCTGCACCCCCAGAACTCTTCCTGCTAGGGCAGCTCACCCCTTTTCCTCAGCTTTGCAAGGCCGTCCCCCTCAACCTAACCCTGACCTACCCACTGCTAGCTTCAAAGGGGCATGTGGGGAATAAAATCTCTGCCTGCCTGTCTTCTAGGTTGGGGGTGGGTGGATTATCTGAGCCTTAAATCGAGCATTTAATTAAATCAAACAAATCAGGCACCTGCTGAGTGAGGCAGAGGCTGTTCCTGTGTGCCGGAGGCTGCAGAGAAAATCCCCGAGACCTGAAGTCATGCTTTGTGGATGCGGTTTCCTGTGGGTGTACAGTCCTGGGGCATTCCAGCCCTTTTCCAGGTCGTGCAAAGTGGAGCTGCAGGGTTAATACAAAAAGTGCCTTTAGATACAGCTTAAATACAGCTTCTCTACACCCCGTACGAGGAAGCCTGATCTCAAATGAGTTCTACAGGTAGTAGTGAAATATAAAGAGCAACCAAGTTACTTATGTTTATTCTTTCCACTTTCCTTCCACAGATGTGTAATGCTTTCTTGTCAGGCCTGTTAGCAGAAAAGTCCAATGTACTAAAAAAGCAAACAAAAAGGCTCAACTTCACGAGAAACTGTATAAAATCCCTGTAAAACCATGCTTAATTAACTGTCGTGTCACGTTGCGTAAATGATACTGGGTTTTTTTCCCCTCTCTTAGTGGTTTCCACAGTTCTGTGCATGGGTGCCATCCTGATTTAATGACCTAGAATTATGTCTAATTGCTGTTCTCCTCTTCTTTCCCACACCATGTGGGGCAAGGAACTTTTCTCATGATAACAGTGCCTTAGCTATTTATTATTTATATTCCTATTTTCACCCATATCCTTTTATGCCCTGATCTGAGGCCTCTTAAAATGAATCTGTTCCACAGGATGGAAAGAGAATGACTTGGCACATCTTGCACCGAGAAAAATGGCTCCCCAAGGGACAGAGCTTCCCCGGGCTGGTTGGGCACTTTCAGAGCGAGTGCCATCCAAGCGAGGTGTCCAGACTTTCTCTGCTCAATAAGTGGACAGAGCACGTCCTGGGCACAGCAGGACTCATTCTGTTTGACACAGGTCAGATAAATCATGGCTTAAAACCACTTGGGCTTTCCCCTTATTGTCTTATAAAGGGTGAAGATAAATAATGGCAACATAAGCTCTTCCCCACATACATGTGAAGTGGAGATGAACCACACCCATGGTCTACACTGCAATGGTACTAGTTTCTGACAGAAACTAGACTAAAAGGAAGTATTGGGACCTGAGATGGACAGAAAGAAGCAGGAGAGGATGAAGGACAGCAC